TGATGTTAAGTAACTTGTCTTTAGTTCACATAGATAATAAATAGTTAATATGGAATTTCATTAGACAGATGTTGTAAAGTAAACACCTTTCATGGCAAAACTCTAAAAACACCCTAATGAGTCTTTTGCTGAAATCTACAAAAGTCCATAATTTTTTCCCTTAACTCATAAACTTATGTCCATTATAGATGAAGTTTGAGGGCAAGAAAGTGAGGGAAAGGAAGGCAGGGAAAGAATCTTTACGTGGGAATTTGTTGTTGATTTGTTTTCATTGAGTTATATTTTTTCAAATGTTCTGTTGCTGCTTGACTTGTTTTAAGAAAGAGAAATGAGATTTTTTTCTTCTTCAGTTTCATTGACACTTACATAAATAAAACATGTTCACTGCAGATACATTAGAAAATATGCATAAGCAAAAGATAAAAATTAACACTAATTTTATCACTATCACTAACATCAATATTTTGGTCATTGTTAACATCTTCTTAATGCAAATACAACTTTTTGTGTTTAAGAAAAGTATAAATACTATTTTGTTATATTTTTCTTTTACTTAGCATTATATTAAGAGCAACTTTTTGTTTCAGTATATATGATCCTCTTATTTTTACTGGTATGTAGTATGAACAGACAACTATATAACCGACATCCATTGGAGAACATCTGTATTGCCTCTAATCTTTCCCTATTTTAAACAACACATCAGTGATTGAATCCATAGCACATTCTCAAGTACTTCTTTAAGATAAAATTGAATTAGAAATTTGCACCAGCTGGTTGGTACATTCCAAGACACATGATGCTGGGAACCCTAAGAGCCAGCCACTCACCTCCTCCTCTGCACCAGCTCTAATTGGTAGAGGCAGAGGAATGGCAAGCCCACATGGAGAGTGGGGGCCACTCTTCACTGTGGCTCTCTGGTAAGAGTTGAACTGAAGCGGTCGGGCCTCCTACTTTCCATCCCACCTGTTGACCTGCAACCTTAGGAGAAAGTGGTTGGGCAGAGCACACAGTGAGCTCTCTCACCCAACCCCTGCCAGGATGCCTACAAGCCATCCAGTATTTAGCAAAACAGAGAAAGCAAAAGAGTATGGCATGCCCTGAGTCATCCCAACTATGCCTAAATAGGAACAGAAGACAATGAAAAGCCCATCACCAACAAGCAGCAAACATTAGAATATAGGCTTTTGAAAGAAAACTAATAAAATACATCATACCATAGGTGTCAAGCTCTCATTAATCAACTTAGCTGGTCTTGTTCCTTTGGAAGAACTGAGTAATGAGTAGAGAAAGAGGAAGACTAATTCTCCCATTGTGCTTCCCCACTAGAGAATGAGTATTGGCTAAGGCAAGGGCCAGGGAGAGGAGAATTTCTCCTATCTTATTGTGCTGATCAACTTGTTATTCTCCCAAGCCATTTGGCTTCACATCCAAACCGAACGTCACTCAGAGACAGCACCAATATCATTGTGAGCCTAGTGAGGGTTTTGCTTCAGGTGAAGCCTGACTCTGCACTTGCGTAACCCTACCTCACTCACCTCACCTTAATCCTGGCCCGAGATCTATTTATTTATAAAAACAAACTTCCAGCTCACAGGTCAGAGTTTGCCATTTGGTTTTTTAAAACATTGTATTCAAATATCATTTATCTGAGTTTTTTTTAAGTTTATTTCCATAGGTTATTAAGGAACAGGTGGTGTCTGTTACATGAGTAAGTTCTTTAGTGGTGATTTGTGAGATTTTGGTGCAACCATCACCTGAGCAGTATACACTGCACCCTATTTGTAGTCTTTTATTCCTCACCCCCTTCACACCCTTTCTCCCTTAGTCCCCAAACTACATTGTGTCACTATTACGCCTTTGCATCCTCATAGCTTAGCTCCCACATATGAGTAAGAACATGTGATGTTTGGTTTTCCTTTCCTGAGTTACTTCACTTAGAATAACAATCTCCAGCCTCATCCAGGTTGCTGCAAATGCCATTAATTCACTCCTTCTTATAATGGCTGAGTAGCATTTCATTATCTATCTATCTATCTGTCTATCTATCTATCTATCCACACACCACAGTTTCTTTTCTTTCCTTTCCTTTTTTATTTTTTTTTGATATGGAATCTCACTCTGTCTCCCAGGCTGGACTGTAGTGGCACAATCTCAGCTCACTGGAAACTCCGCCTCCCAGGTTCACGCCATTCTCCTGCCGCAGCCTCCTGAGTAGCTGGGACTACAGGCACTCGCCACCACGCCCGGCTAATTTTTTTTTTTTTTTTAGTAGAGACGGGGTTTCACTGTGTTAGCCAGGATGGTCTCGATCTCCCGACCTTGTGATCCACCCGTCTCAGCCTCCCAAAGTGCTAGAATTACAGCCATGAGCCACCACACCCAGCCTATACCACAGTTTCTTTATCCACTCATTGATTGATGGGCATTTGGGTTGGTTCTACATTTTTGCAATTGTTAATTCTACTGCTATAAACATGTATGCAAGTATATTTTTCATATAATGACTTCTTTTCCTCTGGGTAGATAGCCAGTAATGGGATTGCTGGATCAAATGGTAGTTCTACTTTTAGTTCTATAAGGAATCTCCACAGTGTTTTCCATAGTAGTTGTACTAGCTTACATTCCCACCGGCAGTGTAGAAGTGTTCCCTATTCACTGCATCCACATGAACATCTATTATTTTTGATTTTTTGATTATGGCCATTCTTCTAGGAGTAAGGAGGTATTGCATTGTAATTTTGATTTGCATTTCCCTAATCATTAGTGATGTTGAGCACTTTTTCATATGTTTGTTGGCTATTTGTGTATTTTCTTTTGAGAATTATCTGTTCATGTCCTTAGCTCACTTTTTGATGAGTTTTTTTTTTTTCTTGTTTGAGTTCCTCATAGATTCTCCATGTTAGACTTTTGTCAGATGCATAGATTGTGAACGTTTTCTTCCACTCTGGGGGTTGTCTGTTTACTCTGCAGACTGTTCCTTTGCCATACAAAAGCTCCTTAGTTTAATTAAATGCCTGCTCTTTATTTGTTTTTATAGTACTTACTTTTGGGTTCTTGGTCATAAAATCCTTTCCTAAGCCAGTATCCAGAAGGGTTTTTCCTGTTATATTCTAGAATTTTTATAGTTTCAGATCTTAGAATTAAGTCCTTGATCCATCTTGAGTTGATTTTTGTATAAGGTGAGACACGATGATTCAGTTTCATTCTCATTCTACTACATGTGGCTAGCCAATTATCCCAGCACCATTTGTTAAATATAGTATCTTTTCCCCACATTATGTTTTTGTTTGCTTCACCAAAGATCTGTTGGCTGTAAGTATTTGGATTTATTTCTGGGTTCTCTCTTCTGTTCCATTGGTCTATGTGCCTATTTTTATGCCAGTACCATGCAGTTTTGGTGACTATTAGTAACGAGAGAGAATTCATGTCCAAATAAAAGACATTTTTATAGTCCCAGCATGGTATTATTTGAATTTTTTTCTTTTCTTTTTTTTTTTTTGAGTTGGAGTTCGCTCCTGTCACCCATGCTGGAGAGCAATGGTGCAGTCTCAGCTCACTACAACCTCCGCCTCCCAGGTTCAAGCAATTCTCCTGCCTCAGCCTCTCAGGTAGCTGGGATTACAGGCACTGGCCACCACGCCTGGCTATTTGTATTTTTAGTTGAGATGGGGTTTCACCATGTTGGCCAGGCAGGTCTCGAACTCCTGACCTCAGGTGGTTCACCTGCCTCTGCCTCTCAAAGTGCTGGGATTATAGGCATGGACCACTGTGCCCAACTGGAATATTTGTATGATGTCGTGAAAGAAAAACATGTTTGTACAAACTCTTCTAGTGAACCATACTATGCAGTGGAGTTGACAATAATTGTGAAATAAAACAGGGAGTGAATTTCACCTTAAGGTGCAGTGAGGCTTTAGAGTTAATTTTTAATAGAACAGAACAGGACATTCATTAGAGTCTTCTGGGGATAACAGCTGACTTATCCTTTCCCCTGGTCCCAGGAGGAAGTACAGGGACAATGTTAGATATGAAACCTCATAGAGGTGGGAACTTTTCTCAAAATCCTCACCTTTTATAGCACTGGCAACATACTGCAGGGAGTGGGACACTGACCTCAGGCACAGAATCTAAGGGGGTGCCAAAAACTCAGATACTATAGTTCGAAATCAGATGATCTCGAAGTTCCTCATAGAAGTTCCCACCTCTTTCACAACGGTATAAAAATATTCCAAATAATACCATGCTGGGACTATAAAAATGCCTCTTATGAAATGCAAATCAAAACCACAATGAGATACCATCTCACACCAGTTAGAATGGCAATCATTAAAAAGTCAGGAAACAACAGGTGCTGGAGAGGATGTGGAGAAATAGGAACACTTTTACACTGTTGGTGGGATTGTAAACTAGTTCAACCATTATGGAAAACAGTATGGCAATTCCTCAAGGGTCTAGAGCTAGAAGTACCATATGACCCAGCCATCCCATTACTGGGTATATACCCAAAGGATTATAAATCATGCTGCTGTAAAGACACATGCACACGTATGTTTATTGCAGCACTATTCACAATAGCAAAGACTTGGAATCAACCCAAATGTCCATCAGTGACAGACTGGATTAAGAAAATGTGGCACATATACACCATGGAATACTATGCAGCCATAGAAAAGGATGAGTTTGTGTCCTTTGTAGGGACATGGATGCAGCTGGAAACCATCATTCTCAGCAAACTATCGCAAGAACAGAAAACCAAACACTGCACGTTCTCACTCATAGGTGGGAACTGAACAATGAGATCACTTGGACTCGGGAAGGGGAACATCACACACCAGGGCCTATCATGGGGAGGGGGGAGGGGTAGGGATTGCACTGGGAGTTATATCTGATGTAAATGACGAGTTGATGGGTGCTGACGAGTTGATGGTAAGGGGCCTGCTGTCACTCCTCTTTACAGACTTATAGGTGCCTGCACGTTATGCACATGTACCCTAGAACTTAAAGTATAATAATAATCAAAAAAAAATCTTTTAGATCTATACAGCCATATATATATACCTCCACTGCCTGAGAACTTAAAGTGATCCTGGCACTGTTAGGCTATATTCAGTTCCTAAAACCTCCACAACTTGTTTTGGACTTAACATGTAAAGAAAAGAATCAGTTCTGTCTTAAGAACCTTTCCTTAACTTTGAAATGGATAAACAGAATCAATTATTTCATTTCCAATGTAATCCTTTTGAAAGTATGCCTCAAACACAATTTTCACAATGTCTATAGATCAGATGAGTTTTTAAACCAGAAGTATTCATATAGTCCCTATAGATATTAATTCCTTATACAGCTTATATTTTGGGGATGGAATATGCTTTACTTGGGTGCATCCTGGTTTTCATGCCTCACTGTATATATTTCCATAAAAACACTGATGTATGTTATAGTCATACGTACGTAGACAGGCGCCAGTCAAAAAACATCTCAAGAAAGTTGCTTTAATAGTACCCTCTAGCTTGGCGTAAATCTCTTCTGCAGAGAGAAAAATCCATTTTTCTGAGAAGGTAAATGTTTATTAAATGCAAATACTGATATTCGTTTCCTAGGGAAAGAAAATGCCTCTTATTAGAATGTGAATTATCTCTAGTTATTACATGTAAGTTCCAAACATATTCAATTCCACCCCCTCACCTATAAATTAAAGTAGAAAATTATTTCCTTACTAGTTTCTTATACTGTTCAGTCTCGGCCAAAGGATCCCATTCAGATAGAATGCTGATGGATTCCTTTGGCAGCAGATGGCCTCATAGGGCCAAGTTTTGACTCCTCTTCTCAGGCTATCTCTCAGAGAAGCATAGATAGAATCCCGAGGGAGTTTCCGAACTCCCTCCCCAAGGATCTTCTCCCTTGATCCATAAGGGGCCTGCTGTCACTCCTCTTTACAGACTTGTAGGTGCCTAGAAGCAAAGATTGGCCTGGGGCACCTTGTGTGGTCAAGGCCTATTGGCCTGTTCCCTGGAATTGAAGAGGCGACATAAGAGACAAAGCTCCTTAGAAAAATCAAGCCAAGGTGATAAGATGTTTTTATTGTGTCTATCAAAATCTCAAAATTTAGTTTTACCATGTTGTACTTTAGTCCTATCTCATTTTCTCAGATACGCCATGAGGGAGTCAGGGACAAGTTGGCCAAGTGGTGCATGAGAAATAGTGTGCAGCCCAGTTTCCCAAGTCAGGCTGCAATCCAGACATGCAGGCGATGGCCGAGCATACTTGTCTTGCCAAAAAGACTTAGTGCCTTCATGGTGGAGAGACTTTCTATTTTTGTCACCCTAGAAACAGAGAGAGTAGAAGAAAATCAAAAGTCAAAATGTTGTTTGAAAAGAAGAAGGCTAAAGTGAACATTATAAATGGAAAATGCCCCTTTTGGGATGGAAAGAGCAACCAAGCAGTTCTTCCAATCTGTAAGAAAGTTAAGGGGGTCAGAGAGAAGCTAGACTGGAGTCAAAGCAGAAAATCAAGGCAGGAGGGCCTCAGGAATGTGACTGCCGCTGCAGTTGATCAGCACCGGCAGCCTCAAGCATGGGAGGGGAATAAATTGTCAAGGGCATCTCCTCAGCTTGGTTTGCCTGGTCGTATGCCAAGAAGACCAAGTCTGAGAGTCAAAATAGAAAGCCCTCCAGCCCATGTGTATCTCCTTTTCAGATTGATGCTTTGACAGAAGTGGTGGCTGCTGTAAAAGGGAAAATTGAAGTCTACCTTGATGGCGGGGTCCGAACTGGCAATGATGTGCTGAAGGCTCTGGCCCTTGGGGCTAGGTGCATTTTTCTTGGGAGACCAATCTTATGGGGTCTTGCCTACAAGGTGAGAGTGGCAAAGTGAACCAGCAAGAAGATACAGAGCTTCTCATTCATTTCTGTGCTTTCCTGTGGTTCATTTTCCAAGCTTAACCCTTTTCAAAATGATTCCTAAAGGATAGTTACACCTAAGCTGCATCTCCATGCTTCCTCTGAAGCCTATTGCAAAATGTTCAATAGCTCTCATCCCTTATCTTTGTCTCTGTGCTTTCCTTTATTCCCAAGGTAATTCTTACTTCACAGATACTTCCCATCTTTCCCATCATAGCTCTGACTACATCTAGAACTTATATTCAGTGGATGGTCAGAATGTTCCTTTATGTCTCTTTGTGTCTCTGTCTGTCTGCCTCGGGAGCAGGGTGAACATGGTGTTAAGGAAGTTTTGAACATTTTAACAAATGAGTTCCACACTTCCATGGCCCTTACAGGTAAGTTAAAAACATTTTTTTCTCTGATTTGGAACTTAAAGCAGGATGGCGAAAGAATAGGAATAGCAGTCCTTCCCTGTAGCTGACCCTTTCCTGACATGGTACCTGTCCAAAACATAGGACAGGCAGGCAACATTCAAGACAAAGATTAAGCAGTATTCTCCGCCCAGTGGAAACCAGAGCACTCCTCAAGATCATTGTCAGTTCTGGGGAGTGTCACCTCTGGCTCTGAATTCTTGCTTCTGTTGAATTCATTCAATTTGTGGACTATTGACATATCCCATGCCTGCTGTTTCTGTCCACTCCAATCAACCCAGGCATGAAACTCAACTCTTTTCTATGCTTCTATTTTTAGGAAAAGACCCTCTCATTAGTATATTTTTGTGACTAATACATTTTGCCAAAGTTATGGTGCATACATCATAAATATGGAAAGAACTCCCAGTTAAACATTATGCAGTCTGTTATTGAATTCTTTCAGCCTTCTTATCACCAGGGTCTTCTCATTGCCTACTCAAGCCCACAACTCCCCAGCCCCATAACATCATGCCAGCTTCTCTTTCTCCCTTCTTTTACTTATCTGGAGTTACTCTCTTCAATCCTTATGGCCAATCTGAGCTACAGTCATAATTTTACATATTAATTAATATCTTCTTCTAAAGAAGAGTCTTTTCCTTTGACAGAACTTTCCTTTAGAAGGCAATTGTTATGTGGAATACTCACCCCATCTTTTTTGCTATCTATGTGTCATATTCCTCCCTAACAGATACTTCCTATATCCTTGAGCCTTATCAAAACCAAGATAAAGATCAAAGACATCTATTGCACACAAGAGTTGATTTAGAAAATGCTAAAATAGGGTTTTTACATGTTTACCCTGACATTTTGACATAGCTGTGTTCAGAGATGACATGGGCTCAGGTTCACAGAATAATTCCCCATGCAAACAGAACTACATTATTCATTCTGTATGTAAACCATTTATAAGAGTGAGCACAAAGATCAAGTCAGACTTGTTCCCCTTCATGACCCCTTACCCATGATGAGGTGAATTGCTGGTATTTGAGAGAAATGAGCTTGTAACCTCATTGTTCTTTTAGGCTGCCGGTCGGTTGCTGAGATCAATCGAAACTTGATCCAATTTTCCAGGCTGTAAGAAAAAAAGGCCAATAACCAGACTGCTGAGGTTGCCCACAGGAGGATCACAAACTCACAGCATGGTGTGTGATGCTGTCCTGCCTGGACCCCATCCCGCCCGGAGGCTCATGCCCCATATTTCCCAAATTTCCAATCCCTCCACTCCTGTGCTTCAGGCCCTCCCAACCCCTGTGTTCCCCAAATGTTCCATGCCCTTCTTTGTATCACTGACTGTTATATGTTGCTTTCTTGCCTAAAATCTTCCTCTGAATTAAAAGATCTCAAAAGGACAGATCATTAATGACTGGAACCACTAGTGGGTTATATTTTTTGCATACTCCATACAACTCTATGAAATGACTATTTAACTTTGTACTCTGGACAGAGGAGCTGTATATACAAGGCATTTTCCTGACAAAAACATACTCCTATCTAAAGAAATAGGGAAATAGTTAAGGACATAGGCTTTGGAGCCACACAGATGCGGGTTTGACAGTCAGGACTACCGCAAGCTATGTGACTTGGGCAAGTTTTCTGATCTTTCTGTGTTTCTGAGTCCTGGTCTGTAAAATGGGGATTATACTCCCTCAGTCAGTAGGTTGGGAAAAAGTTTGAGTACGATGATGTATTTGAAGTTCATAACACTCATACTTAATGAGTATATATATATATACTCATACTTAATGAGCGTGTGTATATATATACTCATACTTAATGAGTGTGTATATGTATATATACTCATAGTTAATGAGTGTGTATATATATATATATATATACTTATTGCTTGGAAAATTTCTATTAACTTTTTAAGGCTTTGTTCAACTTTCAACTATCACTGAATATTAACCCAGGCTATTTGCTCTGTCCTTCCTATTGTACTTTGCACATTCCAGTATTACAACCCTTATTAAACCCTATCATATTTCTTTATTTGCATGTCTCTCTCCATAAATAGACTATGAATGACTCCAAACAAGAAACTCTGCTTTATTCTGGGCTTGGCATATAGGAACATCTCAGTGAACATTTCTGGGATGGATGGCTGGATGGATGGATGGAAGGATGGAGGGATAGATAAAGGAGAGTTGGAAAATATATAAATGACCTATCAGAACAAAACCTCCCGAGACCAGTAGTCAGCTTGAATAGATTTCTAGAGCAGGGATACCCAGCTGAATAAAATCTGACACTTGAAGACAGCAAGAAGGTTAGAGATGGCTGGGCATGAAGGCTCATGACTATAATCCCAGTACCCTGGGAGGATGAGGCAGGAGGATCACGTGAGCCTAGAATTTTGAGACCTCCGTGGGCAACATAGGGATACCTCTACAAAATTTAAAACTTTGTTAAAAACCTAGCCGGGTGTGCTGGTGTGCAGCTGTGGTCCCAGCCACTCAGGAGGCTGAGGTAGAAGAATCACTGGTCTGGGAAGTTGAAGATCATGCCACTGCACTCCAGTGTTCTGAGTGACAGTGCAAGACCCCATCTCAAAACTACAACAACAACAAAACCAAAAAAAAAAGAAGAAGGTTAAAGAAAAAATATCTATGTCTAAACTAATAACTTCAGCAATGGCTTCCCCATCATCTCTCCTGCTGCTTGCCACACTCTATTCCCACACAACAGCCTAGAGAGTTTTTAAAAGTGAAATCAAATCCTTTCTATAGCTTCCCATTCCACTTGCTATATACTCTAAACTGATCTCCAGCTCTCTCGGGCACTGCGTGATCTGCTCATCCTTCCGATGCATTTCCCCATCACTCTCCTTTCTACTCACAATGCCACAGACAGATTGGCCTCCCTTCTATTCCATAAACAATCAAAACTTTCTTGCCTCTGGATCTTCACATTTATCATTCCCTTTACATAAAATGGTGTTCCTCACCTTCTCATGGTTGGCTGTCTGTTGACATGTAGATCTCAGCTGAACTGTCACCGCCCTGATGATGTGAGACATCCCTGACCATCCTCTTCTGAAAACACTCTGCTTCACTCATCACATCATACTGTTTCTCCCCTCCTAGCTGTTACCACAACCTGCAACTAACGTATCAGTTGTCTACTTTATTGTTTATCTGTACCTGCATAGGGACCTTAGGCCGTCTTGCTTCCTGCTACGTTCCCAAAAGCCTAGAATCATGTCCAATGTCATAGAGGGCCCATATGTATTTATTAAATAAATTAATCCATGAAGGCAAAGTTAGATCAAACTACATCAGCACATCTGGAGAATTATAGCAGTCAGAGGAGGAAAACAGTGAGTTAGGATGGAATCCAGCAGAATGGTTCACTACCTAAGCCAACAGACCTGAAAAGTCTTCTATCATTCCTTGACTGGACACTTTCCTGCATGAAACAACGCCATAGTACAGGTCCACTTTTGCCCAGATTAACCCACAGAGCCAAGGGCTGGGTCAAAGGAACATTAGCATGGAAAACACCCAAAGAGAATGCAGTCCCACAGCAGTCTCCCTGGTAATAACTTTTAAGGATTATTTGCTTAACCCAAATATATGTACAGAATGTCAACCACTCACATATTTAGAAAAGGGAAAATGAAGTAAGGTCATACAACCTGTTTGCCTATAACTGCAATTCAGAACCCATAATTCAAGAGAAGTGAACACCCAAACTTTCAAATCAGCAGTCCCTTTAAAAAAAAGTTCATAAAGCGTGTGACTCAAAGAAGACCCTTTGATTCTTCTCAGAAAAAAAGATCTTAAAAGGGCAGATCAGAAATGACTGAAACAGCCAGTGGATTATAAAATTTTGCACATCCTATATATCTCTATGAAATAACTGTGGAATTTTGCACTCTGGACAGAAGAACTATACTTATAAAATATGCCCCAAGAAAAATCATACTATTAAATAGTGCATCATAGAGAAACCAGACGAAAAGGAAAAAAAGTAGATGTTGTTAGAATACTTGGAAGAGCAGCGGATACTTTGGAGAATCATGGTCATTGCAAAGGGGCTCAGAAGGCTAAATTAGATGTAATTGTTAGTGGGTTGATAAAAAGAAAAGGGAAATTGACCATGATCCCAGTGTTAGGCCTTGACTTTTTACTCAGGTGTCAAATTGGCTGCTGCACTGGTGGGCTGATAATTTGAGGTCAAGGAGGGGTCTTTAATCTGGCAGCTAGGGTGGAGTGCTTGTGCTGAAAGTTTAGGGACATACTAAGAAAGCACATATCTAGGGATGACTATCTGGATGACACAGTAAGTCACAATTGCATTATGGGACAGGAGACCTAGATGACCGTGGGCCTTGTAGATGACCTTCAAACCCTGATTTGCATAGCAACATGTGACTTGTAAAAAATGGAAACTTCATGATTTAGTCTGTTTGTGCTAGTATGACAAAATATATGAGATCAGATCATTTATAAACAACAGAAACTTATGTCTCATGTTCTGGAGGCTGGTAAGTCTGGTAACAGCCCAGAGTCTCCTTCCAAGATGAATTTTTGTTGCTGCATCCTCTGCAGGAGATGAACACTGTGTCCTCACGTGGCAGAGGAATGGAAGGGGCCACCTAGTTCCCTCAAGCCCTTTTATAAGGTCACTAATCCCATTAATGAGGGCCTTGTCCTCATATGTTAATAACTTCCTAATGACCCCAGCTCTAAATACTATCACATTGGCAATTAAGTTTCAACATAAGAATTTGGAGGTAACACCTTCAGACCATACAGTTTCACGAGATCAAGAAAGAATATGGGGCAAGGGTCATCTTGGTGTAACCTAACTCATGCACTGCTGCAATGGACTTTGGGAATTTTTTTTTACTTTGAGTCACACTGCCAAGGCCAGAGACAAGACAGAACAGAGGAGCGAAGGAAAGCCTAAAATATTCATTCTCATGAACTAGGATGTTACAGGATTTTATGACCCATTGACTAATGTTATTTTGTGCAATGCTCTGACTTCCAAGAAAAGTAGCAGAAAGAGAGTTTTCAGATAAGAGATTCAGGGACGCTGGAAACAAAGTAATATTGACTAGTCCAGTTCTTCCACAGTAAATTAGAAAGGAGAAACCTTTATTCTGGTCACACTGGATAGATGTGGATAGATGGAGGCTTTCTCAATAAAGTACTAAAGAGCTAAACTAATGGCAGAGATTTAAGTCTAAGAAATCTTCTCTTACCCAGGGGTCCCCAAGTTTGCCTCAGACAGTGGGCAAACTCATGAAAGAGCTGTCTCACCAGCATATGACCAAACCTAGACAAACTTTGCTCTCTGGCCTGTTCCCCAGCCCTCATACCTTTGTCCTCCACCAGAAATCAGTCACAGAGACAGTGGGACTTGGTGCCCTTTCTAAAACTTTACTCTCTGGAATTTCACTTCTAGACCATAGAACTCTTTGTCAGATATCAGTTTCTCAGCCTCTTTACATTTGTGTTAAGTTTATAACTACCATCTCATGATTCTCCTCACATCAGAAAAAGATAAGAACATCTCAGTACTAAATTTTTTTTGTGGTTAAGTAAACAAATAAATAAAGCCTTGAAGATAAAACTTGACATTATAGAAAACATAAGTAGGATAATATCCACCCCTCCAAACACCCAATCGCAGTCTCATAAATCAATTTTTTATCATGCTTTCATGTTGGCTAGTGATCATGTTGCAAAATTTCCCAGTTTCTTTTATTACAGGTACTTTTTAATGCAGGTATAATTGTCTACTTAAGGTCATCTTTTCAACCCTGAAATCATCAGCTGAGGACTTGTGGGAGACATTACAGAGAGTTTTGGGATAAGAGTGAAACAAATCACATGAGCATATGGTATTAAAGCAATGTGGTATACAGACAATGATGTTAGCTTACTTTATAAGAGAAAGTAGTAGAAGCTTTCTGTATAAATCTACCTGGTGATAGCTGTGCTCCCAGATACAAGTGTGTAATTTTTTAAGTTTGTCTGGGTTTAGAGGGCTAGATCCAAAATTATAAGGGAAATGAGCCGGAATATTATCAAGATAATGCCAAAAAGCTGTTCTCTATTGCTC